ATATATATATGATGGTCCTTTGACTTTCCAGCTAGAAGCATGTGTTTCCATTTATCTTGTGGAAAATCTGCTCTATAAAAACTATGTAAAGATGTAACAATAGTCACATTCCCCACACTGACTGGTGACTCTTTGACTTTTTGTTTAGTAAGACAAGTAATTAATTGAATGAACTTTTACATCAAATTTTTCTCATCATTGGACTGGTACCACAGTTTTAAAGATATTCGTGGTCATCTCAACAGGTGATCCAGATGATATATATAAAAATATGTATTTTTTTTGCCACCCCCCCCCCTTTTTTTCTTTGCCCTTCATCACTATTCCTCTTCCCCGCTGTCTTTGTTTCCCTCCCTCCCCTGTCATGTTTGTCCCGTCTGTAACAACTGAAAATAAAATAAAATAAAAAAATTTTAAAAAATAAATAAAAAAAACTAGTTTGTCCAATATTTAAAAAAATAGATATCTAGAAGGACATTTAGCTGCATGTCACATAGCAGGAACATGCATTTAGCCATGTAGACATAATCAAGATGACCTGCTGAGGTCTGAACTGAGCATCAGAATGGGGAAGAAAGGTGATTTGAGTGCCTTTGAACATGGCATTGTTGTTGTTTCTTTTGCCTTGTAAATTTTGAATTTTTACTTTTTATGTAAAGCTTACTTCGTCCATCATGCTTATGAATATGATTATTGATTTTATCTTCTACTTCAGCTTGAGTAAAGAAGATTTCATGGTTCACGAAAGTCCTCATCAACTTTGTCTCAGTTTTCTCAGTCCTTGCCTTACCCCCGAGCTCCTTTTACTAATCTGAGATCAAAGCACTCCCCTCCTTCTGAAGCTGTTGAGTCAGCAGTTGGCTGATCCCAAAATGCAGACTGCTGGAGAAACTTAACAGCAAACTTGGTAGCACACATATTTTCTAGACTGTTCTGGGTTTTATTATAACATCACACGATCTTGGTAGGTGATGCATATGAGCACAGGCTTTCCTTTGAAAAAGTGTGATGAAGTAATAAGTACAAATTTAGGAAAATATGCTTATTAAAGTTCTGTACTAGCTGGATGAGAGGATATCCCTATTAAATGTTATTAAATATTAAGTAATAGGAGCAGGTGCTTAGCCTCAGCTCAGTTTCCTTAAGGTCAAACACAGAAAACAAACTGAGCACGTATGAGGGATTTTGTATGGGAATCAAAAATGCACCTAGATGGTAGCAGTTGGTTGGTTTCTCTCTTAGTGCCACCATGAAGTTCAGATTTTGTTAAGGTTCATCACTGAAATTAATTAAAATGTTCACGCTGCACCATTATTAGATTCAATTTTAAATTTGTTGTGTATTTTACAATAGCTTATACAATAAATTAAATAATGAACATTATGATGACCATGATAACTCAGACTCTAAGTTTTTATATTTAGATTTTTAAAGCTTTTTCATGTTTAGTACATATACTTTTGTGCAACCAAGTGCAACCACAATTGTGTGTTGCACTCGAGGCTAAGTTATCTTCTTTGGTTTCTTAGTGTTTTAGCTCATTAGCTAGGTAGTATGAGTAAATGTACACCACTAAAGAATGTATTTATTTATTTCTTTTGTTGTCCATTGGTGAAATATTTGATTAGGTACCCAAAAATTTCAACTTACTGAGAAGTAACTCAAAAATTAAAGATACATGGCAAGTTAAAATTTTGACATAAACTAGCAGAGATTTTGAGATTTTCAGTACCTTTTTTAAGAAGTAGAAACAAACATCCATACATCTACTACCATCATCAAGACAAACTTATTTAGATTATCTATAGAATACTAACCTACATTGGACATTAATTGTGACTACCTGCTAAATATTAACATGCTAGGACGTTTATGTTAGCAAACCATGTTTTCTAAGATATAACCTTGTATTGAAACAGTGGTTGGGAGACTGTTTTCTATATCTTTACACTAAAGCTCAATACCTATCAGTACTTAATTCTAATTTTAGATATTAAACAACTTAGACATCTTCTTATGGTGCAACCTCAAAATCAAAGGCTAATTTCGCATATGCTAATTAA